AACATGGCAGGACCAACAAGCGAGGCTGGGAGGTGAAGGGGAGGCGTGCAGGACCCAGGCCAGCAGGGTGGAGAATCTCTTCCCTCCAGCCCCGGCTCCTGCCACTTTCCCCCTTGTACCCGCATTTCGTTGAATGCCAAATTACTGCGGTTTCTCAAATTGGCCAGGACTCTTAATTGCAAGGGACAGAAACCAAGCTCATAGCTTCTTGAGCCCAAATGTGCATTTACTGGTGCCTGTCAGTGAACTGGCTTTAGGTATAGCAGGATCCAGGGGCTCAGCTGATGCCGTCAAATCTCTCCCTTGTCCATTTTTCAGTTTGCCCGGTTTTTTCTACTGTTGGTAATTCTTTCCTTTGTAGTGAGAAAAAATGGGCATCAACAACCATAATTTAAGGTCGTTCTGGGTTAGCAGCTCCAGTGGGGGAGGAGAGCTTTCTCTCCCAAGGTGGGTATCTGTCCCAGGGAAGGCACCAGTGTACCAGGTAAGTCCCCTGCACACCCGCAGACAGTCACAGGGCCCGGGGCATGGAGGTGCTGTGAAGGTACCCGCAGTCCCAATGGGAGCACGTGGGTGGGTGAAGAAAGTGTTCTGCAGAAGAAGACACATGCTTTTGTCAACGGAAGGGGCCAGGACCTGGACCAGCAGGAACACCATATGTCCGTGCTGTGATGCATCCCATGCTGCATCCAGGTGCTAGCCCATTTCATAGCTTTTTCCAGAATGTTCTTCATTCCCTTAAGAGGAGGAATTCCCTGACTCCTGCGTGCCACATCCGGGCTGAGTTCACCCCCAGCTCTCTAACCCCCTCAGTTTCTATAGCACCCGTGTGCTGCCTGCACACCCTAACACATGGCCGAGTCCAGCCACATAGGACACGTGCAGCTCAGGCAGCTTCTCACAGATCTGCTGGTTTCTGGAAGGCAGTGTGGCTGGGGGAGGGGCTGTTAGGGGCTGAAGAGAACGAGTGTTAAGAACCAGCAGTCTGCACAGACTTTCCAACCTAAGCATCTGCGCAGCTTCTCACGCGCTTCATGAGGTCCCAGGCTGTCCTCCTGCGGGCACGAGGACACATGTCCACTTGGCACCTGCCGTCCCTGCGTAAGCCACCCAGTTATGTCTCCACCTCAGCCAACATCACGCTCTGCTTCATCCCTGGAACACTTACTGAATATAGAGCCTGATGAGGACTTAGGGTCATTTCTTTTTCTTCTCTTTTCAGCTTTATTAAGGTATAACCAACAAATAAGATAGTTATATTTAAAGTATATGAAGTGATGATTGGATACATACATGTTTGATACATATATAGACGAAGGGATTCTCACAATAATTAATTAACCTGTCCATCACCTCACACCTGGCTTATTTGCTTATTTATTTATGTATGTATTTTTTGGTGAGAACACTTAAGTTCTACTCTTGTAGCAAATTTCAGTTACACCACACGCTATTATCAACTATAGTCACCATGTCGCACAGTAGGTCCTCAGACCTTACTCATCTTTGGCTCCTGCCAAACCCATTCTACCATGTTTCTACGAGTATATTTAGATTCCACATATCAGTGATGTTAAGGTCCCATTGAAAACATTTAATTAACGTCTACCTCAATACAAACCTGATATACTTTTACCAAAGTATGACAAAATTTTTCTTTGAAGTCAAACACAGGCACTCATTCAGAAAATATTAATATTGAATACCTATTAAGTACTAGGCTATATGATCCAGCGATTCTATTTCTGGGAATACATCCCAAGGAAACAAGAACTCTGTGTCAAAAAGACATCTGCATCCCCATGTTCATTACAGTGTTACATACCATGGCCGAGATGCAGAGCCAGCCTGTGTCCATCAGTGGGCGAACGGGTCCAGAAGATGTGGGGTATGTGTCCATCAGTGGGCGAACGGGTC